GTCTCTTAAGTTTAGATCCTTTCATAGCCCACACTCAGTCACAAAAACTCATGGAAAAGGGAGCCCTATCGCCCACACTTGCTGTCCTCCAGCAGCAAAATTTAAGCATTCCCGGCATGTTACCAAACCAGCCTCTGCACCACCACATGCTGCACACAGAAGAGGACAGAACCATAGAGTTGCAAGTCAGAGAAAAGGCGTATGCAGAGGCTGAAAACATGTTCTTTATAGAGAAGTAAGAAGTAGTAAGGGGCTAGCGGCAAAGGTATAGCTTTTAATGCTACCAATAAAGAGGCTGAGGATGTAGCTCAGCGGCAGAGTGCCTGCTTAACATGCACAGGGCTCTGAGTATGGCAAAGAGGGAAGTATTTTACTAGTGAAGGAAGTCCTGATGCTTCTGCAGGGAACTCAGCAACATTTTTCTGATCTACCTATGTCAATTTACTACTGATTAAAATATAGAAGATGGACTGGAGAGATGGTTCAGTGGTTAAGAGCACTGGTTGCTCTTACAGAGGACCTGGGTTTGATTCCCAGCACCCACATGGCAGCTAACAACCATCAGTAACTCCAGTTCCAGGGGATCCGATACCCTCTTCTGACCTCCTCAGGCATTGCATGACATGGGTTCACTTACACACATGCAGGCACTCATACACACAGATATATAGCTATATAACAACTTTCCAAATTCCCTTGGTTGTACCTGATGCCTACTCAAAGAGGTCTCAGGAAGATGACTACAGCTTGGGGATTCCATGGCCACAGAAATACCTGTCCCCTATCTTACAACTGGTTAGAATTTACTATCACTCATCTGGGTTTAGAGCAAAGGAGATAAAAGCTGAATCTACTTCTAAGCTTCAAACTTCCTGGTTTCATAACACATTCTTCTTTTCTACCTATCTCTTCTGTTCCCTCTTCTCCTAAGATGTCAATTCTCAAGTGGAATTTGGGAAGTCTGCTCTACAGAGAGTGAGATGTGTTCTGAGCCTAGTCAGTTAGAGACCCAAACAGAAATCAGGTGGGGAGGATTCTAAAACACTGAGTAGACTTGGTGCTGCTGACCTACAGGAATTGGCTAGTTGTTATTATTTTTTTTGACAGTCTATGATGGCTGATCTTCACTGTCAATTTGAGTGAATTTAGAACCACCTAGGAGATACACCTTTGGATATGTCTATGAGGGTGTTTCCAGACAGGTTTAACTGAGGAAGGAATACTAACCCTGAATGTGAGTGACACCATTCCATGGACTGGGGTCTCAGAGTTCATAAAAAGGAAAACAAGAAGAAGCCAGCTAAGCACCAGTATCCACCTCTCTCTGTTTCCTGATGGCAGATGCAACATGACAGGCTGCCTCTGCTCCTGATGTCATGTTTCCATACCATGATAGATTGCATACTCTCAAACTGTGAGTCAAAGTAAATCCTTCCTTCCCTAAGTTGTTTTTGTCAGAGCAATACCAAAAGTAATAATACATAACCCTAATTTTGTTTGACCCTGTTCTTTTTAGTTTCATCTATGTGTCATCTAAACCCGAAAATATTATGAGGTAAATTTATTAAAGATGTACGGAATGGGAAAAGGCTCAGAGATTATCCAATGCAACATTTCCAAAACCAGAAATGCCACTCCCGTGACTTGCTCTCTAAAAGTGGCCCCTCAGGACCAGGTGAACTTGGGAAACACTCCACTCCTGCCTTGAACCTGCAGGTCTCTAGTGCTTCAGTGTCCCCTTGTACACAAACTATGCAACACTCACAGTCTAGCTTTTGCAGGGGGGCTCTGAGCACTCTTCCTAAGCCACAGGATTTCTATGGGAGAATGTTCTGAAACATTTCACAAACTGGAAACTTCCTATACATCATTGAGTTCTCTTGATAGCAGATAAAAACGTGATATGGGATGATGGCACACAAGAATACCCTTCTCATACAAGGTCTACAAGGTCACAGAAGCACTTAAAAAATCACATATTCATCTCTAGCAGTTCAAAGGTTAAATATGCACTTAAACTGTTATAAGGAATTTGTTATTTTCTTTTGCCATTTGGGGCAACCCAAAAGAGTAACATCAAAAGAATTTAAAGCTTTAGGACTGGACTGAAATACTGAACTGCCCTATATAAAAATATAAATTCAGGAGTTTTATTTTTTTCTTGGTGCAAGCAAAGCTTGTTGTATCTCAGAATTTCTTGAAAGTCTGGGTTAAGGCTGATGGCCTTGTTACTATTATTGAGGTCAGACAAACCATGTTCATCTAGAGAAGATTAAAATGGCAGATTTGTGTAAGATGAAAATCCTTTCAAAGAGATACAAGAATCCTAAGCCCATGAATGTCTATGTTAAGTCAAACATCTGGATGAAAAAAATAAAAGCTATAGTAATTCGCCACACATTTTCCAAATGTATTAGGGCAGCACATTGATCCTAAAACTAAACAAGTTTCTGTTTGATTATTCCTCTCCTCCACTTCGGTTCTACATTCTTGTTTCACCACCAAGGGGCTAGATGTCCACAGGTATCGTTTATAGTTTGTATGCACAACAACACTTTTGGTAGTCTCATGAAAGGAGATCATACAGAACCTTGACAAAGTCACTGTTTGGAAAGTGATACCACATGATCTAGGAAGGGCTGGACAGCCACAGAACAGTAGCCCGAGGTCTGATGAGAGCCCTGTTTAGAGGCACTGAGGTCTGGTGAGCCACTGTGTTCTTTCCAGTATTTCTATTTCAGTTTTTATTTGCTTCTACTTTTCCACCTTTTCCAGTAGCAGTGAGGTATGCGCCATGGTAAACACTCTTTTGGTAAGCCTATCTTATGTCATTTAGCAAAAAAGGGACAAGCTGTCAGCTGATGTCACTCAGCAAGCAGAGGGAAGAGGTGGAGAAGGAGTTAACACTGAATCTCTGTTGTTTACAAGGGGCTCTGTACATGTTCTTTCATTTCAACCCTGGCAAAAAACCAATGGGACACAAATTCTTGTCTCCGTTTTATACATCAGGAAATTGGGGCTCAGAAAAGTCCAAGATCTGGAAGTAAGAAGGTAGCCAATCTAGGATGAACTTGGGTCTATCTGTTCTTTCTATGACACCAGCCCAATTCCCATAGAGAAACGTATACCATGCAAACCAAAATACACATGGAGAGAATGAAAGTTAACTGTTTAACAACTGGATTTCACAAGAATGACAGGTGTTAACCTATGGTATCAGAAATTCAATACCACAAATCTTATAAGCCCCAAATAAAATCACTTCAATCAACACTTTAATCTTGTGTAAACAACTGTTATCTAGAGATACTTAGGGTGGCTTTGGGGGCTTTTCTTTGCAGTCCTGACTGTTATCACATACATTTTCATATTATTCTTCTCATGCCTCCCACAACAGAAGGAATATTTTTTAAAACTCATGAGCATCATTTCTCATTTTTGATCATCCAAAGAACTAAGGGTTTGGGCAGCACGCAGCAGGATATAAAGACTATGGGCGTGAACCTGGCTGACAGGCCTTAGCATGGTGCAAATTTGAGATATTGCTGCCCTTGGTTCATAGAGTGTGTCAGAACTGGAAGAAATTGCTTTGAACCTTCTGGTGCCCATTACACTGAACCATGGGCTGGAATTCCCAAAATATATCAGACTGATTGTTGTCTAATTTCTCCAAATCTGTTTAAAATCCACTGAGCAGAGCAGAAAAATTGAATGAAAGTGGCATTTTCAAATTTTTCTGATTGTAAGTTATTTCAGGCTCATAGTCACATCTGTCTGCTTTAACTGTAGAATGCCCTAAAGAGAGACCCTCAAAAATCTGCGCTATCTTTAGGGCATACGTACCTTAAAGGAACATGTATTATTAAGTAGTTTTCATTTTCTAAGTCTATAATATATAAACTAGTTTTCAGACTTAATGGTAATTGTGGATTTAAGTGGTATAATACTATAACAATTATTATTATTTTGTTTTTTGAGACAGTGTCTTCTAATAGCCCCAGCTGGCTTGGAACTCACTATATAGACCAGGATGGCCTTAATCTCACAGAGATCTCACAGAGATCTACCTGCCTCTGCCTCCCGAGAGCTGGAATTAAAGGCGCGCGCCACCACTTCAGGCAATCAAGAAGACTCACTTCTGAATGAATGTACAGGTCAAGCTTTGGGGCTCCTAGTTATTATTTATATAGTGTCTATTTTGATTACTAGTAAACAAAAAGCTGACTATTACAGTGATAAAAATACCTATTATATCTAGTACTTAGAAATAGCTACAAGAGAAACTGCTAGAGATCATGAAGGAACAAGGAGGCAGAAACATTTTTACTGTATTTTTGTTTCCAGAGGAAGAAAGGAAATTCTCAATTCTGAAAAGTGAAGTTGATAGCTGTAACAACAGTTGAGATACCACATAAGTGCAGAGTTTTAACTTGAATGGAAGACTGAAAATATGGGAACCCCCAAAAACCTAAGCCTGCCAAAATGCTTCCTATTTGTTTTTGTGGGATCTCCTCAAAATTTCATGATGAAGATTTAACCTCTAGTACCTTGGAGTATATGGTGCTTGAAAACAGGCCTTTAAAAGTGATAAATGGGTTAAAATGAAGTTGTTAGTCTGGGCTCTACTCTAATCTGATTGATGTCTTTACAAGAAGGGAAATCTGGATCTGGCATCTATGCACACAGGAAAGGCCACATGAGGATCTGGTAAGAAGGGGAGCATCTACGTTGCAGGCAGAGAGGTCTCAGAAGAAACCAAACCTGCTGTAGCCTCGGCCTTGGACTAATGACTCTCAAACCATGGGAAAGTGAATTTCTGTTGTGTAAGCCACCCCATCTACAGCGTTTTGTTATGGCAGTATGGGCAAACTAATACAGTCAGTATACCTTAACATGTGGCAAATGAATCAGGAAAATATGTTAACTGAAAATTGGACCCTCAATCAAATACCAGTACATATAAGGAAACATTTAATCTGTCCAAAGAGAGTGGGACTCACCACATCAAAAGCAGTAAACACATGACAGTAGTGATGATTGGACTTCAAATCTTTTGTGATATAAGCAAATGTCGAGAGGTCTTCTGGGTCCTGGGCAGCACAGGAGATATTACGAATTTCATGCTCAGCAATTATGTTCTGGAAGAAATGACAAAATGACCATTGTTTTCCTTTGTGAATCAATGTATTTTAGAACCAAGACATAGTAATCTGGGAACCAGCTGTTTTCTTCTTTTTGGAATGTTCTAGACCAGCAATATTAAAATCGATTTGGTGCACTATTCATGGGCAAATGCATTGGGTCTGGAAGGAATGTTTTCATTTAATGAAAAACAACCTAAAACTGTCATATCCAGGAACAGCCGTTCTTGCCAGGTGCCGTGCACAGAAGCAGTCTGGGTGGCAGACAGTTAAAAAAAAAAAGTAATTACTAAGCATTTTAGCATTTCTGTCTCCCATGAGCAGCTCTAGACATGCAGTCTTGCCTCCTGCTTATTTAGTCTGGAAATGATCATCTGTCACTATGTATGAGGGGAGCCATGACCACAGGAGTTTGTCCAGACACCTTGCTGTTGTGCTTATACTCTGCCCTTTTCTTTTCTTGGTTTTAGGAACCTAGAGCCTTGTTCATGCTACATAAGTACTCTGACACTGAGCTATACCCCTTGGCTTGTACCACACTCCTCCATGCCCAGAGCAAAGGCAGGTGCAGGACAAATCAGGCAGGAGGAAGCCTCAGGTCCTCTTTCTATCTCTCTCCAAGGTTCCCAGGAGGCTCACTGTTGGGGTAGGGCAAGTGAAGCACTGCATTGCAATATCCAGGCCTTGGGTACCTTGCTGGATGCGGGCCTTGTGGACAGGATAACCCTTTCCTCACTAGACCCACCAAAGAATGATGAGATGGCTCTGACGGCCATTATCTCACAGGTGAGGAACCGGCCTTAGTGAGCTTCAGTGCCTCACACAGGAAAGGTGTGAACCTGGGGCTAAGGTCTGGGGTTGCTTGGAGAGCTGTGCTCTTTCCAGGTCATTTTCAATGTCTTTCATCCTTCCATTTCCTCTCTGGTTTAACAGAATTGTATTTCTTCTCTCCTTGCATCTCTTTGTGTTTTCTCCCTCCTACCCCATCCTACTCGCCTCTGAGAAGAACAGGTGGGAGGAACGGTTTAGTGCCATTGTCCTGAAGCAGAAAATAACCAGAGAGCATCATCTTTGCTGCAAAATCTGCTAGAAACTTCTTTTGATATACAGATGTATTTAAAAAGCAGAAAAGCTCTATGCTAGTGCAATCATTTTTTATTTTATAATTTCCCACTTATGTCTTCTGCAGTTGTCATAGATCTAAAACTCCCGATGCTTTAGTTACCCTAATTACTTTTTAATTGCATGTCTTAAAGAACCTGTTGGCAATACAATGTTCCATGCCTACTCATCAATGCCTAAAACTGCTTACAAAATGCCCTTCCCTGCCAGCACCCCCAGCAAATACTTCATATCCCTCACTCTACCAAGCTCTGTGGTCAAGAAGCAATTACAGAATTAACACATAAAAGAAAATTAAATTAGGATATTCTTCACTGTGGCTTTGAGTGCTGACACTATGTGCAGCCGCTCTGTCAAAATAACTCAAATAGAAATTAGAAACCCATAAACAAGCAGCATTCTATGATCAGATAGCTTCAAAATAGAAATTCACTGGTCCTCTTTGGGCATTCAGATTGCATTTCTATAAATAGAAAACTAAATTAGGAACTTGTGAGTCTTTAGAAGGAATTTTAGGGTCTGATTTATCTTTAAAGGTATTGTGTTACCACATGTGGATGTCTTGGCCATCACTGGATTGGGGCTGCTGGAACCTAGAAGTCTGGGTGGAGGTGGTTTTACCTGCTTGTGATGGTTAGTGTTGTCAACTTGACAGAATCTAGAATCACCTGGCCTCTGGGTATGCCTGTGGGGGATTATCTTGTGGTGGGAAGTCCCGCCCACTGTGGGCAGCACTATTTCATGGGCCAAATCCCGGACTGAATCAAAAGGACAGAGGGAGTTGAGCACAAGCATTTGTTGATCTCTGCTTCTTGATTATAGATGCAGTGTGACCAGCTGTTTCAAGCTCCTGCTGCTGTGACTTCCCTGCAGTGATGGACTGACCTGGAACTGGGAGCCAAGATAAAGCCTTTCTCCCTTAAGTCGCTTTGCTCAGAAATTCTGTCATAATAATTTGTAAAGTAACTTAGACACCTGCCCAGGGTCCACATCCAGTCAGTGAGCACTGGCTCTGGCTTTTAACTCAGCTGACATTTGTACATTTGGGAACCTTTGTCAGCATCGGGTGGATCAACTCCTAGGGGAAACATTACAGTGACAAGTGCCCTGTGAAGTTTACTGCACTGAATTTCCCAGAGTTTTGAAAATTCATTGGACCATTTTGGTGGTGTATGGCAGTGTTGTAGCCCTGGGAAAAACTGCAGTGCTGCTGCTCTTTCCTTCTAGGTCTTCCTGGCCCTTCTGGAGACTTTCTGGAAGCCTTTCCCTCTATTTCCCAGGAGGTCAGAGGTGGCTTAGGGGATAGAATCTAGCATCTCTCACATGTTTGGCAAGTATCACTGAGCTATACCCCTAGTCCCAGGATTGTCTTTAATATTCCTTTCAGTCCTGATATCTGTGATGTTTGTATTTTAAAATCAGTCTCTTTTCTTATTGCTGAAAATGTCTCAGCTAGGTAGAAATCAGGCTACTAACATATATATTCAGGTAGGAATGTCTTCACAGAGCTTTGCGATATATCCCTGGTGCTAGACCATGGGTAAGAACTGGGATCTGTGGCTGGGAGATACTGCCTCCCTCACCAACACCACTTTTGCAGATGGTAGGCCAGGTTTCCATCTGTAGGATGGATCCAAGGCCAAGGATGCTGTAGTTGTGGACTCTATGGAAACTGGAGAGCCAACTTCTTCCTTGGAGAAGACTCAAGGAGGAGAGCATTCTTCCCCCTCCAGTCATGCCTCAGTTTGTGGCTACTCCATAAATTAAAAGATGATGTCATCATGAGGCACTGTTCCTATCTCAGTGTTAAACCAGACTCCTTGTATGTTATTAGCCTTTGTTTCTAAGAATGTTCTAAGGAAGGCAGAGCTTTTCAAAGGCTCATGAGAGGCCTAGGGAAGGGTTCACCTGTCCTCTATTGGACAGATGGTTTGGTGACTTAGTGCTTTTCAACAGGGAGAGAGTGCCTGACTACCACCTTTCATCATTTGAGAAATGTCTTCAGAGGTGTCTGGCTGGTATGTGTGGAACAGAATTGTTTGGTCCAATCAATTAATAGGGCAATTCTAAGAAGGGTGTGAGATTCCAAAGAGATGCAGCCTCACCACATCCTTCAATCTGAACTCTGCCACAGAAGGTATTTCTTCTTATCCCCTCAGGCCAGGCTCTTCTCCAGCAAGAAACAGAAGTGCTCCCTCTAGAGAAGGGCCAAGACAGAGGCAGTGGCTCACAGGGGGCTAACTGGAGTTGTCCTATGGGGTTCCTGATGCTGAAGATCACAGCAAACCCTGAATGTGGTCTCACTGAACTCCTGGGTGCTTAGAAGTATGTACTATGGAAAACAGTGGGCATTTATTAAGGAAAATGATCTGATTTATTTTGTGCCTAAAATTAGCATAAGCCATACTTGAATTTTGCATTCAAATGTAAAACAAAAACAAAAACCTAAAGTAAAAACCAGACTCTTGTTTCTATTGCAGTCAGAGTGAAGGTTGAATAAAGATCAGCACAGGAGGGCAAATGTGACCAAGCCTTTGTCATTACTTGATGTGGGAACTGGGTCACCTTTTTGGAAGACCCTGCTGATCTCAAGAAAGGTCTGTAACCAAACAGTTGGAGTCTTTGGGCCACTTCCCTGCAGGAGCTGACTTTGGGCTGCGGCACTACCAAAAGCTGATGCAATTCCTCTAAAACATTTTAGGACCTAATCTGTTCCAAGTTCCATTTTAAATTCAAGATCACTTTCTGCCTCTTCCTTCTTAAATCAGAGATAGTGATTTGGTTTCCTAAGTTGCTAGGCAATACATTTATGCGTTTATAACTAGGTGCCATGCCCTTACCAATGCTCTTACCAACTACAAGGAAAGAAATGCTTCACTGGAGGGTTCATCTTTCACATTCTCTAATGGGGGCTAATAGGAAGGGATGGGTAATTAACGTACAATTAATTATCCATTGTACTTTAAACTAATTGGCGGAAGGTAGCTGTAGAATAATAGAAAAGTATTAGGTTAAGGAGTGGAAAGATCTGTGACCTGCCTGACTGTGGGCAGAGCTATCAAGGGATGGAGATCTTCCCACGTCCATGTGGATTGGACATACCCGTCCATCTTACCGGGGAGGGCAAGGGTAAAGAATGGTAAAGAATCAAGTATGATGGAAACACAATGAGGTGTGGGTATGTCTTTGGTTGTGCCTTAGCACAGGCTTGGTGGCCACTAGTACCTGAAATGGTCAGATCCTCAAATGCGTTTCCACTTTACAAATCCTTCAACTTCAGATCAAAGTGGCTCACCAAGACAACACTTCCCAGTGGGGGAAAGGCAAGGTAAAAAAAGAAGGCAGTACTCTGAGTTCATCTTGGTTTCTTTACTGCAGATCCTTCATGCCTCCTGAAGCCAGTCCTTCCACCCTGGTCATGTCTCTCAGCTCTCAACATACCGTCATGCTGGTCTTCTGTTTTCTAAACACAATCTCTTTACGTCAACTTCCCACACAGTAACTACTAGACTATCTCTCTGAGTCACCCAGTCTCTCTTTATCCACTGTCATATTGGGGAAGAGCAGTTACACAGCCAGTTGAACTGAATGTCCTCCAGTTCCTTAAAGAGTCAGGTATGTGTTGTGATAGTCATAGAGAGCTTGGTACCACCTGCTACCACAGGCACTTTGCTTTTGCTTTAGATCCTGAAAATATGTCAAGGACCACACTGTAAAGATCTGAAAGATACTTTTGCTTTCCTTATTCAAGGTTTTTATTTATGCAAAACTATCTTTTGTATATTTTCCTGAGCTGATATTTCCAAAAGGTTGTGATCAGCAAGCAGAGGTCTATGTCACGAATCAGAAATGTCTCTTAGAGGTACAGGAGCATCTACATCCTGCTATGTGTCTGTATGCAAAATGCAGTAGACCTAACCGAGCTCTCTCACTGTTCTGATGGTAAGCACTTAGTCGGACAGGATGCTTTTAACGTAGACACAGCCAGTTGTGCCACCACCAAATGACAGAAATGACTTTTTCAGATTGTGACATCTTCCTACAGCAAATGGTCCATATTGAGAAACTGTAAGAATCTAACACACATCAGAGAGTGTCAAACTTATCCATTGCTCTTCAAGTTTTTCAAATGCGAATGTGGTAGAGACAGTTGTTTCAGGTTAGGTGGCATGTGTGTAAGCATGTATGCGTGTGTAGTGCATGTGTGTATGCGTGCACGTGCTGGGGGAGGGTCCAAGCGCTAAAGCCTTTCCTTCAATTAGATATAGTAAATAGCAATGGTGTTTTCAATGAACATGCCATAGTTTTAGAACTTTTAAAACAATCTACTCTGATTTAAGGAGAAGGTACTTTTATGTACCAGGAACTAAAGTCTCCAAGAATTAGAAAAACAAATCAATGGGGATTGTTCTGATTTGAGTCTCTGCGATTTTAATCTGACAGTGGAATTGCCATTATGGATAAGACACCTTAATATACTTTACTGTTAGCCAACATGACAATGTTGTATTACAGGCTTTCTGCCTGTGTTCCAGAATTTTTCTCAAAATTAGGAGGTTGTTTTCAACAGTTTATTGGGATACTTGGGCTCATCCAACCGCTGATGCAACAATCTCCTTATAGAAAACCAATTAGGAAAACTTCTAATTGGTTGATTCAGATGCTTGGGTTTATTATAGACACTAAAGAGTCATTGCCCATAGGTCTTATCCCTGGAATTACAATTCATTGCTTTGGGTCTGTGTCACCATTGTTGAAGTTCACCTGTTTGATGAGTTTCCATTCTGCTTCTCCAAAGTGGAGTGGGTCCAGTGAGGAAGTCTGGGTGGACAACGCAGAAAAACCATTTACAAGTAGCAATCATCTCATCTTTCTCCTTTCTATCCTTTATCAGTTGTAAGGATGGATGAGGGAGTAAAAGACACAGACCTTTAGGGTTCTGTCAGGAGATAACTAAGCTTTCGAGTTCAGCACCAGATTCTGTGGCCTTGGCTCAGAAAGGAACTCTAATATATTCAAGTAAAACACAACCCAGTTTTCTTTACTTGACCTCAGAGCTGACAATAGTTCCCACTGTGAGTACAAAGGCACAGAGTGTTCTGAGCTGTTTTTGACTCATGTCTTTTAAGAAAACAAACAGTAGAAACTCTCTTCATCCCAGTAGTTGGGATGAAAGAATGTGAAAAGTCAAGATGTCTTCCTTGTGTCAGACATTCACTGCATGTACCAAAGGACAGGACAATCATTTCTGGGTCTTTCGGTTAGGATCAAGTGCAGTACCCAAAGGCAAGGACACATATATCCAGAGACATGCAGAGCAAAGGCTTTAACCTTTCATCTCTTAGTATTTCTCTGGCGAACGAATGATGCCATTGTGCCATTTTATAAATGATTTTTTTTTGTTTCAGTGTTCTCTAGATCCAAAAGATATGGCAGTTAAGTGGCCCCAGTGTATCAGAAAAGGCATCATGAAAGGTAAGAGCAAGATACGTTATAGCGGTCCCAGATCAAAAGAACCAAATAAATATGCCTTTCTCTTTGTGTGTGTGTGTGTGTGTGTGTGTGTGTGCGCGCGCGCGTGCGCGTGCATCTATAGTTACAGGTTTGAGCAGGAAGCATGAAGTGAGGAGGGGGAATAGTGAAATCGAGTCATGGTAGTTTAGATCACATACTCGGGACTATTATCTAAACCAGAGAGGCTTGGTACCTACCTTATTTGTTGCATCAATAAATTTGACTCCTTTATATGAGACGGAAAGAATAATCGTAGGGACTTTCTTCATTTGCTCTGTAGACTTCTGAAATTAAAATTAGAAAGCTGTTAGAACAGTGTGTGTTGCACGGCAACTGAAGCACAGATTTTTTTTTTCTCTTGAAAGATAAAAATGAACTCAAGCTAACACACACACACACACACACACACACACACACACACACACCTCAAACACAATCAAATTTAAATGGCCATCTCCCTTGCCATTAGCTATGCTTTTAAAGTCTCTGTATTGCATTGAGGACCTAGGAAGCATGGGCCCTGAAGTTTCTTGTGGGTGCAAGTGCACTCCTCTTCCTTGATACCAGCAGGAGGATGTAATTCCAAGGGCACATTCAGCACCAAGAAGATACATACTATTGCTGCTCCCTTTCTCCTAGTCCCCTCATTCTTCAAGGCACAGGGAATGTTTGGATATGGATTCAAGCAGGGATCTATGATACATCCCTGAAAAATTTTCCTGAACCTTGCCAAACTACAGACACTAATATAATATTTATAGCTGAATCACATATGACCGATCACATAGGATATCATACTGTTGGATAACAGCTAAGCCGTCCAGGAGCAGTCAGTGTTTGGAGTCACAACAAAACGCTGGACAGACCAAGCAACCCACTTTATCATGCAGAGCCCCCGTATTTCTGCAGGTTACATTCTCATGATGGATGTTCACACTGGCTTCATGTGCAGGGTCTGCAGCTTCTTCAGACTATTCAGCCACAAAAAGTTTCTGTGTAATTTAATCTGTGTCTCTCCTGCTTAGCTTCGTCATTTATTACCAGTCACCAACAGTCCTGCTTACTTCATTTTCCTCCGTGCATATTCTCAATCATCACATTAAACATCGAGAAGAACCTACCTGACAGTTAGCCTGATGGATTTTCCACACAAGACAAGTGGGAACATAATAGGAGAGAAAACATATGAAAAGGTGTGAGAAGAAACCATTTCAGTAATTCTCCAACAGCACAAGTTCATTAAAAAGTAAAGGGTGTTGTAGAAGGAGAACAGGCTTTACAGACAAGCAGATGCAGTGAAATTGTTATTTTAGAAACTGCAGCAGGCAGCCCTGCCTCTGTTTCTCTTTGTACTGTACTGCACAGTCTTAGGACTGAGATGCAATCACGCTTCACTTTGAGCTTTGACAATGAGCGCTCTTCTTATATTAGGAGAATCAGGAAAAAGATATGAACTTTCTTGACTTATTTGTATTACTCAGCATTCTATTATAACATTCTGAAATGTGACCAGAATTAAAGGAGGCTTTTAATGGGGTGAAACTCACTGACTCAATGGTGATGATTACATTGCATCTTTTGTGTGACCCTGGGAAAAGGTCTCTTACACTGTCCTCATTGTCTTGATACAACATCTTTCTGAGAGCTACCATATATAACTGTTTCAGAGATGAGGAAATTTACTAAGAATATTACTTAAAGTTATTTTTCCAGACAATATGTAAAAAAGAAGCTCTCTTAAAGTACATTTGAACTAGTTTTAAAATTACCTAGGCTTGCCAATTCTCATTTGCAATTGCCAAAAAAGAGACGTTATGGGAAATGGAATATGACATTGCATACTTTCATATTTTTAATCTTCTCTCAACCACTTCTTAAACATGTGCAAGGCAAATCAGAGGAAAGCTGGAAGAAATCACATGCTGTATGCTGGTTTTAAGGCAAAGCAGTGGCTGAATTATGTGAATAGAGAGGGCTGGGGCAGTACAGGCAATCGTTTTGTTGACTAAATTGTATGTGAAGAACTCTGCAAGGTGTATCAGTAGATTCCAGCAAATCACCTTGCTCATCTCTTACCATGAATAATATCTCCCAGACAGACCTATTTGTAACCTGAAACAATATATAGCTACATTAACATGAAAGTACCAATATTTTGTTTAGTATTAAAGAACCCATTTGTTATTTGTTCTGTTATCTGTTTGGCAGTTGAGTGGTTATTTTAGGCAGCCCACTGTGCTCATCTCTGGAAAAGCTCAGGATCCATTTCAGGGATGTGAAATTGTGTGCGAAGGCCACTGCTGAAAGTGCTGCCTGAGTGAGGGCTGTGTTGAGAAGGATTCTTCTGAGCCTAGAAGTGGGCTCAGTGGGAAAGACACTAGGCAAGATGCCTAATGGGGAGGAAGGGAAGGGCCAGCACATGAATCACACAAGGCCATTCCTGGCCTGGTTAGGTATAAAGAACAGCCACAGTGTAATGTTGATGTATGCAGAGCTGGAGAAATGATCAGAGAACCTGTGGAGTAGAGTGGGGAGGGCAAATATTCAAGCATCCATTCATTCACTTATTCATTAAACCTGATTGCCTGCTAGGGGAGACTGAGCTGGCTCTGAAGGGATGAACAGTCATTCAAGAGGCAAAAAGGGGATATACACAGCTATAAATGCAAACTATATGGTAGGTTTAGGTAGTAAAGTAGATTTGGAAGGTGGAGCTTTCCCTGCCAAGTTCAGATGATTGGAAGCTTTTAAGTAGGGAGTACACAAGAAAGATAGTTTTGCTGGTTATATGGAAGACAGAGGCTGGGTGAGACGCAGGAAGCTGTGCGAATCCAAAGGACAGACTTTAAGGTGGGTTGAAGCAGAGGCAGTGGAGAACAGTGGGAGGAGTCCCACTGCTGAGTGAGAAGAATCAAGAGGATCTCTGGATTGATCTGACATGGAGGATGAGTGGGAGGGAGTGTGTCACAGAGGAAGAAGCCATGTCGATATAGCAATGCCAGAGGGGAACATGCTTTTCCAAAGACACACAGGAAATGTGCTTGCATGTGTTCAGGGTGGTGGGAGGAAAGGAGAGATGACATTCAGATCTGGAAATACACATGGAGGGGTGGCTGAGGAGATGGAAGCAGCCAAAGTGGCTTATGGAGGAATAGGAACCACACCCCAGGGGGGATATTCACTCCCAATCCCCTGTTTTTGGAACAGAGTTTCACTATGCAGCCCAGGCTGGCCTTGAATTTGTAATCCTCCTCTCTCAGCTTCTTGGGTGTTAGGTGCACAGGTATAGGCTATCATGTTTTATGAGTTTATTCTTAAGATCCAGTGAAAGAACTGGGCATGGAGCTGGAAGATGCCCACAGCACAGATGATGCCACAGGAGCCAATAGGAGACTGATTTGAAGGCAGGAGCAGTGCCAGACATCCTAAGGACTAGAAGGCCTAAGAAATAGTACCTAGCAAGCGGCTGGCACATAGAGAAAGTTCTATTTTTATTGGACTTGTGGGGTAAAATTCCTGACTTTAGTAGCAAGAAAGATTTATTGCCAATTTGATTAAGAATAGCTTTAGGAGAATTCAGGCAGCAGGCAGAGAGGACACTGCCCTTAGACTGACCTGAGGGCCTCAGTGGTTATTTCTGTCATATTTCAGAGATTCCACATTAGATGCCTATCCAAGCCTCAGAAACCAAAGGAAAGGTAAAGGGTCCCAAGAGTTCATTTCCTCTTCATGGAGGCAGCACTGGGGTACCTGTTTAGGTTGGGCATGATGGTGAGTGTTGCAAGTGGCTAAATACTCCAATCTAGAGCCCAAACTGTTCTCTCCCTACTGAGTTCCCTGACAAGAACATGGTGGACTTGGTTGACCACCAAGTTCAAGGGGACCGTGGGAGGTCTTCAAGGCCATGTTCCTTGACCAAGGCAATTATATTTTTTAGAAAAGCTAACAATCCGACCTTTTTCTAGAGGATTTTCTGATGGTATACTTTGACAGAGCTTTCAAAGAAGCCTTTTTGTACATAATTTTAATGAAAGATGAACATGCATAAAAAGAAGGCAAATATACTGAATCTTCAGGGAGTCTAACCAGGGAGGTAGGAAGTCCAATACGCACTCACTTCGTTTCATGAAAGCTTTATGGGTACAAGAAAGGGGTTCAGAGCTTGTGCCTCCATTGGCAGGCTGAAGCAGTCCTGTCCTCCCTATTTGTTCTCCAGTGTTGCCATCACCACTTTCTCCCCCTTCCCAGGCAGAGGATACTTACCCTGACCATTCACTACTCAAGTTACAAAGGCTGAGCTCGTGAGATCTGGCTTTTAGGACCTAGCTGGCAGCTTTGCTGGGTATCTGTTTGTTGTCACTATACCCATATGCTTATGTGAAAGATTCAAACCTTATTAACTGTATAAACAGAATTCTGCAGTGAGGAGCTCAGGGCAAGCTTTGGTTTCTAGTTGCTTCTCCTTGTCCCAAACTATTTGTGGGATTTCTGAGGTTTCCTAGTCTTCAGGTTCTTTTTCCTTTGGGGCTGTATACAAGAGACTTGACTTGTGGTGCCAACCTCTTAGAACCCGAGCAGCTGAATACTCATGGGGAAGGCTTCAGATTAATTTAAACTTTATTGCAAATTGCTGCCTGAAAAATGTGTTACAGTAATATTCATTGTGTTTTGTTTATACTTTCCTAAGTTAAGATTATTATCCTTTTATTACTACAAAGAGGAGCAATATTTGGTTGTTTCTGAAATCTGTATTTAGTTCTTGGGTTTAGAGCTAATCAAGCACTTTTAGATATTTTTTAAAAGGAGGGGTTTGGGGCTGGAGAGATGGCTTAGTGGTTAAGAGCACTAGCTGCTCTTGCAGAAAACCCGGGTTTGAGTCCCAGCAACCCCTGATTCCCAGTGCCTACATGGAGGCTAACAACTGTGTATAACTCCAGTTCCAGGGGATTTGATACCATCTTGACCTCTGTGGGCACTCCATGACACAGGAGCATTTACATATATGCAGAAAATTCACTCATACACACAAAAAATAAAAATAATTAAAAAATATTAGAAGGAGGGGTTTAGATTTATCAAGAAAAAGGCCCCCTGTGTGTTTGTGTGTGTATATATACATGTTGAAGCCAGATAACAATCTCATGGGTGTCATTCTTTAGGCACTGTCCATCTTTTGTTTTGGAGACAGGATCTCTCATGACCTGGAACTCACCAAATAGGCTACTGCTGGCTATCCAGTGAACCCAGGGATCCACCTGTCTCTGTCTTCCTAGGGCTGGGATTATAAGCATGTGCCACCATGCCAAGCTTAATTTTTCCTTAATATGGGTTCTTGAGATCAAAATCAGGCATTTATTCTTGCGAGGCAAGCACTTTACTAACAGAACTATCTCCTTAGCTTCTCCTAACTATTTCTTGATGCAGGGTCTCGTACAGACTGGGCCGGTCTCAGCTATAGCTGAGGATAACTCTGAATTCCCAGTTCTCCTGCCTCTACCTCCCAGGGTCTGGCATTACAGGTGTGAGCCACCACTCCAGCATCTTTTTGGTTTTAATTATAAACTAAGAACTGTTTGGCACCAGGTCAGAAATCAACACTGGAGCTCTGTTTTAGCCTTAACATATGCTCTGAAAGTATGTAAAGTTGTCCCTCTGCAACATGGGGAATTGGTCCGAGAATGTCTACAATATCAAAATCTGTGGATGTTCAAGGCTTATATAAAATGGAGAATTAGCTGCAATAACCTATACACATGTTCTCGTTATTTTAAGTCACCATTTATTTATAATATCTGATACAATGTAACTCTTATGTAGTTGTTACTCTGTACTGCTTATGGGATAGTGATAAGGAAAAAGGTGCATACTGAGCACAGGTGCAACACTTGTTTCTTTCTTTTTTTTTTTTTTTTTTGTTTTTTTTGAAC